TTAGAATGCACGCGAAAGACGAATCGCGAGATACGTCGGAAGGAGGTGGGAAGAGCCAGTTTCTCGGCGAAGGAGCGATGTGTATTCGCCGCGTATAGTCGATCGTCGTGGATCGATTCGACGACGGTGGCGTTCGATGAGAGATCGCGCCGAGAGCCACGTGCTCGGCGCGATCGCGCGTTCCCAGAGAAATCCTCTCGCGTGTGCGCGCGCGCGCGAGATCTCCGCTCGCGAGCGTAAGGTGAACGCACTGACTTGCGACGCGGATGGAACGCGGAACCGAGCGGGCGATGTGCGAGACAAATGATCGTCTGCGAGGCCGCGAAATTCGCCGCCGCGCCGGCGAAATTCGCCCAATCTAAAGGACAAAATTACTTCTTCCCAATCGACTCGAGTGAATCAATTTTTTTCTCGCGATACGTAAAAAGGTTTTGTAATGTCGAATGGAGGGACAGCGTCTTTTTGGGCTGTATGGGACGTTCAGTAAGGAATGCATTCTTTATCAACATACAATATTTCTTATTAGAAACCTCTAAATTATTTCACTTTTCTTGAAACGAAATTGGATATGCCTACCAATTCTCCAATTTCTCCGATTTATCAATTTCTTCAACTCGGATATTTTAAGAATCTTTCTTGAGATTCTTGTATATGTCTGGTATCACAAGAAAAAACAATAAGAGTTAATGATGTTTTATATCGTCGATTTCTGATATTTTTAGATTTATTAATTATTTATTAAGAAAAGAAATATTAAGGACAATTTATGAAGCAATTTTCTTCTTATGTTTTATGTATAACTTTTATTGTTAGATTTTAATTCGAAAGTCAGTAAATATTTCACATAAAACATGATCTTATAAAAAATAGATGCAAATTGATCGCCACGTCATCGAAGCACTATTATGTTACCGTTCGAAAAGCTATTTGTTAAAAGCATTCTCATTTTTCAGCTGTTGTTATTGCCACAGACATTTACAATTTGTTCAACGATCGGAAAGTTTTCGACACATATTGCAAAAATATGAGAAGTCGGTTTTTCAATCGAAACAACTTTCATTCATGATTGAAGAAGATTGATATCGCTTCACTATACATATATACGTCACGATAGTATACGCCAATTCCGAAAGAAATTCACAATTACCTAAAAACATATGCGATATTGCTGGAAACATGCTAATTCACAATTCGCGTGTCACGGGTACATAATAGGTCCACTGAGAAACCATCGTGGAAAAGGTTTCCATCGAAATAATTTTGTTTCTCATCCATTCTCCTATTATGGGTAGTCGGATAGCGTCCGAAGCAATAAATAAATAAATAAATAATCAATTAACTTTACGACAAGCCTCTTGATTTTGCGAATCGATTTTACGAACGCCTTATTACATTTACATTGCACTCGACTGGATGCTTCGCTCGAATCGTTGCAACTCGATCGTTGCCACTCTGTATATCGATCGACGAATATCTAGCCGCGCGCGAATTGTCACAAAACACTTGAAATTCGCGAGGCGGAAAAACAAAGCTGGCCAAGAGAGAGGGTGACAGGGAGGAATGGATGTCGCGGGAGGGAAGAAAAGACGAGTTAGAGAGAGATGAAGGAGAGGATCCGAAGCGAAACGTGCAGGTGAGAGAGCGAGAGCAAGAACGAAGGAAAGGGAGAGAGAAAGAGAGAGAGAAACGCCAAAGAGAACGATGAAGAAGAAGACGGGTGGATGTTAACGGAGGAAGGCGGGAGGAAGGTTGTGACCAAGAGGAGGAGGAAAGGGGGGAACGAGCCAGGAAGAAGTCAACGTCCGAAGATTACGGCAATGACATTCACTTTTTCTCACTCTCCGCCTCGTGTTTCTCTCGTGCTCTCCGGGCTTTTTTTCTCTCCTCTCCGCCCTCTCCTTGTTTCTCCCGCGATTCACCGGCGATTCCCTGTCCTCATCTCTCTCGATCGTGCAAAAATGCTGGGATATACAGGGTGGAGTAACTTGGGAAGTTACCTTAAAGTCTTTTGGGCGTAGTGGAAAGTTTTGAAGCTCGTCGTCTTTATTGTTATGCAAAAATCTTAGAAAACATCTTCACGTAAAAGACGCGTGAGCAAGATGCAGCAGATGAATAGTTTTAAATAATTCGTATTTGAATTTGAACACGACAGTAAATTTCCTTTTCTAATAATTGTGTCGAAAATAGAAAGAGCCAAATATGGTATTACAAATTATTTTCTTGGAAGCTATAGGGATATTTTTTTATAATTTTTTTGCTATACTTGTAGAACAAATGGAGTTGTTGCTGTAAGCACCGAAAGTAAAAATGTAAAAATAAATGTGAGAAGCCAATGGCAACGCCCAACTTTTTCTAAAACTTTATATTATTTTCTAGAAATAAATTTTCTTCGTTATCTTACATATAAAAATATTAAGCTGATTGAAAAATGAATATTTTACGAAATACTTTATATATTATCCTAATATATAAACATTTAACATTTCAACAAGAAGATATTATGTCTTCCTATAATATTTATCTCGTAAAATATTCATTTTCTGATTAATTTATCTTAATATTTTATGATTAGAATTATCAAGAAACTGCTACATAAAAAATTTAAACACGTTTAAATTTGAAAAATTTTTATCTAATTGAAAAATTGTCAAAACTTTTTCATTTTTGTATTTACCGTTTTGAATATATTAACTAACTTGAAGAGATTGCTTTCCTGGAGAAACATAATGTTTTTTAGAAATCGAATATCCGTTCTCAAGTTACTTATTCTATTAAACTTTCTATTCTCAACTTTCTGAATTTTCGCAATTTTAAATACGAAAACTCAATCTTATATTTTCTGCAATAAATTAATTAAATGAAATAATTAACTAAATATTTATTCAGGGATAAATTTTATCTAATAACAAATTGGAATAGATCTTCATTCTAATAATTCGCAACGTTCACGTAATTTTCACGAATCTATAAATCGTACTCGCCTGCGACCGCATTTGCGTATGTGTCTTTATTATTTTACGATTGCGTTTCTTTTATTTTCCGCGTCGTATATATCTTTGTTTTGCCTTTGGTTTCTGATTTTCTTTTCGTTTTGATTTATCTTTCAGCGAGATGGCTCACGTGAAAAGTCAATGGACGTATGAACCATTGAAAATTGCCGGACAGGTTCGCGCTCGCGCTACTAGAAAAAAGTTTATTCTATAAGAAAAAAGGGAGAGAGAGAGAGAGAACGAAGGAACGAAAAAAGGAAGAGAAAGAAAGGGAAAAAACAAGCACAAGAGCTTGTGAGGACGGCGTACCACAAGGTCCACGGGTAAAGGCGCTCGGTCGATCGCGTACCCCCAAAAATAATGGGTTGAACTTTCGAGTGGTGTTTCTCCACTCGCAAGAAGAAACTGGAAATGGAAGCACGGCGCGACGATGAGCTCCTTCAACTTTCGCGTTGACTGCTTTCTTAACGAACGGTAGTTGTCGAAAATAGTCGAAAATAGGATATGCGTTTCGTTAGTCGCAGAAGAAACGGAAGGGATCGGTGTGTCTAAGTGACAAAGTGCGAGAAGTCCAACGGTAACAGTGATAACGTATTGAAACTTTCGTAAAACGCGGCAGTGCTACCCCTTTTCAAAAAATTATCCCCCTCCCCGGCCCGCATTTTACCGACCGCGCCCGCATTTCTCCGTTCGTTCGTTCGGTTCGTATCGAGTGTATCGATCTTCATCGTCCGCATCACATCCCGTCCGTTATTTATACATTCGCGAGGAAATCTCGGGAGCCCGTAATCTTCCATTCGCAGCCTTTATCGCGCTCGTCGCATCGCATTCGTCGCGCGGCCATTACACGACCGCGTGGTCGAATTAAATCTTATTAAGCAGCGGCGTAAATGCAAATGCGAGAAACGCGAAGCCGGGGGAAGAGCGGCTCCGCGCGTTAGACGGAGAGGCGTAATACCTGTGCGAGGAAACGAGGAAACGTTACTCGCGGTTCAAGGACCCCGTGAAGTTACGAGAAAGACGAGCAGCGACGACGACGATCACGACGAGGACGACGACGATAACGACTGCAAACTCGAGCGGGAAGACACGTTCGTTATGCTCGCCGAAATCGATCATCGACAATAAAACGTTCTATTAAGAAAAAAAAAAAAGGAAGATATCGCTTCTCAGAAGGCGCCTGATGAAATGCTGGATAAATTATCGAGATACAGGATATCCTTTCGCAATAAAACCGTTTCACTAATGACGCTCGACGTGTCCTGCGAGTTATGTCGGTTCAGCATACGCGACGTGTCGACAGTGGCATCGCCCGTGCTGCTCCTCAATAGAAACGCCTTATACATGATATATAAAAGATGCTATCTACCGACTGAAATAGCGTTGCACCGGTTTGTGTACAAGTAACGAAGGGGAAAGTTTAATCGAACGAAGTTAGAACAAGTTTCGTAGTATATCGAGCGAAGTATCAAGCATCGAATAATTAAACGAGCTTATTAAACGATAGTCTACCTTATTATCATCAAGAAAGTTCGACCGACACATAAGTCTGTGATCGACATACAGAAGCTAGCACGCGATTGTGAGGTAATCTTTAAAGATTCGAGAAAGATTCGTGAAGACGCTCTCTTTTCAGTCCGCGCAAGACTCGAAGAGACCATCGGTGAACTCGCAGAATAATCGCGGACAAAAATCAACGTCGTCCGAATTTCTGGTAGCCGCGATTTTCAGAGATTCGCGAGAGAGAAAGAGAGGAAAGTGACAAGTGTGTTCCCCTCGCTCCCTTCCGCGAAAGCTGCGAAAGTGCGCATCCGTCTCCGAGTGAAATACCGCCGGCGCCTCCGACGCGGGACCGTCGTCGAGACCAAGGAGACCGAGAAGGCGCGCGCGAATGCTGAATGCCGCAGGCGGTAGCATCGCCAGCAAGCGCGACCGCGACGTGCACCACGCTGTTCGCCGCCGGCGCCGCCGACGCCGTGATCGCACGTACGTACGTTCGATGCCCGTACAATGGACGTTTTCAAACTCGATCAGTCGCTGAGCGCGGGTTTGGGCAGCGCCCCGGCGCCAGACACCCTCACGCCGGAAGTGTCGTTCGACGCCGGCAGTGAGTTTAACCTGAGCTTCTTCGACGGCCCGGAGGAGAACAACAGCACCCAGGGCTTCAGCGACCCCGGTTCCGTGGGTAGCGCCAGCGCCTCGCCGCCTCCCGGCACCCCTGGTGGCGCCGTACCCCCCGTCGTCACCGCCACCGCCACCGCCGCTGCCGCCGCCACCGCCGCGACCGTCGCCGCCGCCACCGCCGCCGCCACCGCCGCCGCCACAGCCTCCGCCACCGCCGGTGTTAATAATCCGAACGCGCCCCCGCTGCCGATTGTCCAAGTGCCCTCCGCCGGCATCGTCATTAAACAAGGTTTGTTTCATTTCTTTCTTTATATCGCGTGATCGCGAATCTTCCGATTTTCGTTGCTGCGCCGTTTCTTTTTTTTTTGTTTCGACTCCTTCGATGAAAACGCGTCATGGATTTATCTTCTTGTCGGCGTTAATGCGACGACCATGGCATTGTATTATTATAGATATCATGTTGCACCCACAACATGCATTTTATTATACATGACACTTCTATGAAATACTATAATTGATTATGAAATTCTCGATAAACTTTTAAATATAATTGATTGAAAAGAAGAATTTTGCTGAAAAATCTAAACTTTAGTTGGAAATCTGAAAATAATTTGATTGGACCATCAAAGTATAATTATATTGGAAATTCAAGCATAATGAGCAATGTTGCAAAAAGTTTTGATATTCTAGCAACCAGTTTGAATTTCCAATATAATTTATTTTAATCCAATAAAATTATTTTCAGCTAAATTTTAAAATCTTTCAGTAAAATCGCTCTTTTTCTGTATACCTTACGTAATACGTTTGCAAAATAATTTGCTTATTAACTAAAAATTAACTGAAATGTGTTGAAAAAGAAACGTTTAATATGGATTATGAAATATTTAATTTTAGGCAATTAGTGAGGAGAGTGGAAATAAACTTTTTCAATAAAAAAAAACAAAAAGTGTAACGAAAATGCAAATGTTTCTTGTATTTATTTTATATAAACGTTTATTGCATCGTTAAATAATTCAAAAACAAAAAGGCAAAATAAAATAATTGCGACTATCTTCAATAATTTCCCTATATTTATAATTGTATATAAATTTTATAAATCAATTTTTAATGCTTTTAATTGCTAACTGTTAAACGAATTTAAAATATTTAAAATACTTATTTTAACGATTTTGTATTAATGATTAATATTAATAGTTAACCAATATTTGAGCATTTTATTGGAAAATTTATTGGAGAATCATATCGTCTCTTTTATACGTATTTTAAATATATAAGTATTTCTCATTTTAAAAGAAAATCGATTTTTTATCTTTTGAAAAAATATTTAGCGATTCAATGAAATATATTGAAAGAAATTTCGAGGTAATCAAATCAATTATTATTAACTTTATAAATGAATTTTTATTTTTTTGCACACTAAGAATAGTACATGGAAAATAAATTGTGCTTGGCTATCAATTAAGATATGTTTTGAAAATGCAAATTGATTGCTAGAATATAAACATTTTTTTTTATATTCCAACACATAATTTTTTTGACGGTCCAATAAAATTATTTTTTAGATCTGTATCCATCAAAATTTTAAATCTTTCAGTAAAATTCAATTCTTTCCGTGTAGCGATACGATAAGACAGAATATAGCAGATAGTCGATCAATCACGCCGACCAAACAAAACGCAATTGATTCCGGTTTCGAGCTTCGAAACGATAGATATCGAAACAAGCGATTACAATTTCCTGCAATTCAGTCTCCGATAAAGGAGGTGCCGCGAAGGAACTTGTCGTCTCTTAACGTAACTTTGATAGTCCGCCGTTTTATATGGGAAACGTCTATTTATAGCTCTCGATCGTGCATTATACGCTCGGTGTGCCTATGTTTTAACGTTGTTTTACATCCTGAGCACACAGACGATGTGTATAGCGCTTCTCGTAAAGGTTAGAATACAAATTGAAAAGGTCGCACCTATAATGCAGCGGGGGTATACTCTCGTTGCTCGCAGATCGCTCACGATCGCGAGAATCGCGCGCTGCCGTTGTCATTGATAGAGTTACTCCCGAGCAACGTGGGATTTTGCTTTCGATCCACGAGTTCGCTCCCGATTGGGGAGATTGAATGCCGAATAATTTCGATGAATCCAGACGAATCGGAAATCGTTTTCCCGTGCTTGCGAGTCGACCGAAGGAATTCACCACTCGCGCTTCGCTCCGCTCCGTGAGAAAAGTCAAGCGTGCTGACATTTCGCTCGAACTGGGAGAACGTGCCAGCGAAATCGGTTCTCGTCTTCGTCCGGTCCTAAGTCCTTTCCTCCCTCGTTCGTTTATCGTCGATTTTGCGACGTTAAAACGATTTTACGGAATAATTGAAGGATTTCTATCGTGATAGAGAACGATTTGGCGCCATATAACCCAGTTTTTTTTTTTAATGGACTTATATTTAGTTCCTGGAAATCCCTTCAATTGTATACTGGTTCTATCGATGGATATCTTTGACATAGTAGAGCTTTAGCTGGAAGCATAAATTTCTATACTGGGCATATCGAGAAAGGATCGATTAGGAATAGCTGATGCGAACGCGCGCGAGCTGATCAATTTTTTACGACAATTTTGACTTATGTATGCAAACATTTCGCGCGCTTTTGTGAAATTCTCTCACGGTAACAGCGGACGGCAAAATTGCTTGGATTTTCGGGAGAGTTTACGTGATCCCGAAAAAGGGGCCACGTTGGAGGCCGTTGGTTATTTTATACATTCGCTAGCGGGGATCATCCGACGGCGATCTGATGGCAGCCACCGAAAATCCAACTTTGAATTTCAATCACGAGGCGGTCAAGGCCCATCGAGAGTAATTCAATTCAGAAGCGCGAATCTCGCGGGGATAAGAAGCAACGTTATACGCGTCGGCTATTGTCCGCCCGAGGCGCGAAACGACGCGCACCCGGGGCGTACGATCGACACATTTCGAGACGGCTTTAACGTAATCATGCGAGATGAATTAATTTCGTCCGTGCACCGTCAAAATTTCTTCGCATTCCGACTGTAATACATAATTCAAGAGTTACGTCGTCAAATCTTGCAGACACACCTAATAAAGCCCTGAACTCGCGTTGAACTTCAAGCTGACTTTATTTTAACGCGCGATTAACTCATTTATCTATAACGTATATCTTTAACGCGAGCTTTAATGCTGATAATTGACGAGTTACAAAAATAAGTGACGTCTAATTGAATTTTCGCCGAGGAGGATTCCTAACAATATGATAAGACAGGCGATAAATGTGTTGCCGAAAAAAGAAACGAGACGGTTTGGTTTACCGCACGTATTAAGGCTATATCTTGTTGGCGAAACCTGAGAAGATTCGACGGGAAGGAAACTTGTTAGTAAAGCGTATAGAATACGCCCGGAAAGTTCCGACGAGTTAACCGGCGAATTACGGAAGTTGTTTTGTCGGTGCACAATGTAGCCGAGTTTTGACGTACGAAACTTGGACGGCCGAAAAGTCGTCTATATAAGCATCGCGATTTCTATTTAAAGTGACGTGAATGTAATTCCGTTGAATTCGCAGCGCTCGATTTTACCCACTCACTTCTGCGTTCCAGTCCGTGACTTAATGATCTTGTAATACTTCGACGGGAATTATTCTTCAAAGGAATTCTTCGAAATATGCTTGAAAGACACTTGAAATCGTAAATATCGAGAAGGGAATGATTTATTCGCGAAATCGCAAAATCGCGGTAATCAAAATAATGCGAGCCACACAGACGATTGCGTACCGGTAACTAAATTTTCAGCAATTACCGTTCATTGCTTTCGCCGGCCTGATATGACGCGGCTCCGGATATTACCACGGCGAGAATAGAGGCTTCCTTGATCGACGGTGAAAAAAAAAACAAGATCGAAGCTGATTGACACTTCTTTCTTTTTCCTCGCCGGCGACGTCGACGCCGCGCGCCGGGCCGACGACGCGGGGCCCCGGGAAGTCGGGCTGCAAGTCACGATTTTATCGACCATACGAATCGTAAAAGCCAAGAATGCCGTATCCCCGCGTACGACTTTCTTACACGGAATGCAGCTTGCACGAGTGCTTTCCTCCTCGCGAGGAGGAGCGAGCCAAGTATCCGGAATGTATCCGGAGAAAAACAACACGATTATGAACATCGCGCATCTGCTAATTGGTTACGATCGAAGGGACCCCGCGAACGCGGGGTTTACTTCGCGACGATAAACGAAGGAAATATTCCGCAGTTGGAGCACGCTCCGATTGCCAATCGCAATTATGCTCCGTTTCATCTCGGCCGCTAACATTGTTGATTAAAATAAGTGCTACAGCTGTAGCTAATTGTAAGTTATACGGGTTTCCATGCCTTTTGAAAGTAACAGCGCTACGACACGTGTGCGTAACAAACTTTCGCGTGGAGAAACAACTCAAAAATACCGCTGTATTGCGTAACGAAGGAACGAAGTTATTCTTATAAATTTGACGCGCTTTACAGCGCGATATTATCTGACGATTATCTATTCGACAGTATCGTTAATGTTATTACACAACTTGTGCAATCGCGGACTCCCCCTTCACTTATCTTATCTGCAACCCTTTCTCAAAATAGCTACACTGATTCAAGTCAACCGATGCATTTCAGGTATTGCAATGCATATTCATTCTACGAAGGCTAATTTGTCTCAATTGTAAATTACTTTCGGCTTTATACGAAATAGATACTATCCGTTATTAATAATATTCAAGATAAGAATAAGGAAGAACAGCAGAGGCTCAACTCTCTCGAGAAGAGCGATTCCATTGGGAGCTCGTTGTGAGAATTATAGATTTGGCCGACCGAGCGCGAAAACATCGATGACAATAATCGCGCGCCCGAGAGTCATTGACGTTCTCGCGTGTCACGTATAAATTGCCTTCCTGGAACGAAGGCCACGAGAAAGTTCGTGCCGCTGCTGGTTCAGTGCCACGGTCACGCTACGTGCGTGGCATCGATAGCGACGAAAGTAAACTAAATCCGAAAGATTACGCAATGCCGTTTTAAAAGTCATTCGACGTGCCTCCTTTCTCATTCTTTCCCTCTTTCACCGCTCTTCTATTCATCATTGATCTCGGCTATTCTCTCGCAGCCGAGCGCACTAGATGTCAGTTGAAACCCAAGTTGAAACGTTTTCTCGACGGGACGCATATAGAAGCGAGGAACTTATGCTCTTCAATTTTTTTTTTCGACGCCGAATTAAGAAGCGCAATCTTATCTCGTCTCTCATTTACGTTTCTTTTCTATTTTTTCATTTCT